CCATTAAGTTGCCATTTTATAGGCAACAACCTTATACCCATCTTATAGACTGGCTTCGTGAATGAGGCGTACTAGCGGTAAGACGACTTTGATCTTATACATATATATATTATTATTAACTTAGAATATTATAAGTATAAGGTTTGAATTTTAATTTTTAAAATTCTATGGGTTGGAACTAAAGTTTTAATCAAGACTTTACTTGTTCCAAAACTTGAGGGCAAGTTTTGTAAACTTTCAAAACTTTTCATTTCTTGTAACTTATGAGTTAATAGAGTATTAAAAATGAAGACTTTTCATTTTTATAACTCATGTGTTATTTTAATGGTTTTTAACAAATTGACTTTTGGTTTTCCATAACTTGAGGACAAGTTAAGGACTCAATTAAAACACATAATGATCAAGAATTAATCTACCACATAGGTTACAAACAATAACTATGATCATCTAAACATCATAAGAACAAGAACATGAATATGAACACTTTCAAGACTCAAAAATTACACTTTAAAAACTTGTAATTTTGATAATTGTCATTGCAAATAGATTAGCATAAACATTACACCATCTAAAACATGTTTACAAGAACCAAAACTATGATCATCTAAAACATCTTACAAATGAATCATCTAATGATTCATTTTGTTTGTTCGTGAAAAAAATATGTAGAAAAAAAACTTCTTACCTTCCTACCAAAATTTTCCTTCTTATTTGATCTTGACTATATATATATATATATATATATATATATATATATATATATATATATATATATATATATATATATATATAGTGTGTGTGTGTGTGTCCAAAATTTAATTAAAATACGTACTTTCTTCTAATTTTTTTTAACATTATCAACTTAGACCATCTCTAACTCATCTTCATTTTTTCACCCTATAAATGGAGAAAAATGGGATAAATAGTGTTTTATCTACAATCATACTTTATTTTTATTCAATTTTTTACCCAAAAAAATATATTCATGGAATATTCCATTTTTATAACTTATTATATATATTGACAAATACACATTTTACTAATTAGATTTTAACAACTATATATTATATTTTTTTCAATACAAAAATAATACAAATTATATTATCATATATAAAATGTTTGCATATAATAAATTTGAATTAATTACTACTTTATTATAAATAATTATTAAATAAATAAGATTATACTTTTAATAAGTATATCATGATCACAAGCATATTTGATTACTATATTTTATAAATTATATTACCGTGTTGAAGTTTTTAATATATATTTAACTTTTTATATGGTTTCAATAAATAAATATTAAACTAGCGGTTTATGATTAATTAATATCAATTAGTATATAACATGATGTTACATATATTAAATATTGCATTTTAATGATAATTAGCAGATAAAAATAAACTAAAAATGTATAAAATAAAAATGAAAAAGTCAAAAATTGACAATAGAAACTTCAAATCTATTTTTGGAAATATGAATAGGACTCCTCTATATTTGGGGGAATACTATTCATATCTCTAAAAATGAAGATGAAAATGGGATAGGGTTAGAGGAGAATTGGGGAAGAAATAGGGAAAAAAATGAAGTATGGGATTAGGGGTGTTCGTTTGGATGGATCGGTTTGATCCGATCGAATCAAATAAATCCAAACTGATTTCACTTTTCAAAATATGGATTCGAATTGTCCAAACTAAATTCAAATCTGATCTGATCCAATCTAATTATAATTTTGTTGGATTGGTTTTTATAATTCTGTTTTCAAAAACCGAAACATTTTAAAATGACATATAATTATAATATTAACCAACTTTACACAAGAAGCAAAAACAAATAATTTAGTTGTGATTTGAAATTTATAAACAACTAATAAGAAGCTATATTATATTTAAATATTTTATAGATACAAAACTTTTGAGAGAAAATGCATATTAATATTGTTTTTATTGGGTGAAACGTTTTGAACCTATTTGAAAAAATAAATTACAAAATTAATAAATAATTATATATATATATATATATATATATATATATATTAAATGTTTATTCGGTTTTTCAGGACTATTCGGTTCTTATTTTATAAACCAAAACTAATTCAAAATCCAAAATAATAATTCGGTTTTGTTGAAAACCAATCAAAAAATCCGAATATCCGAACCAAATAGTCAAATCCAAATTGTCCAATTGGATAATTTGGTTTTATTCTAAGTTCGATTTCGCCATTCTTTATATCCACGACAACTAATTTAGGCATCAACAACCACATCAAGGGTTATGGCCTTCAGATTGTGATTCTTAATGTTATTAATGCTAAATTAGATTTCCTCATTCTGGTGTCCAACCGAGGGTTATGGCCTTCGGAAACGAAATCACAATCTAATTTGGACCACGACATAACTCTCTGATGCCTAAATTAGATTGCGTTTCTTAATGTTACCTTAATGCTATGTATGCTATCTCTTTTTTGCCTTACCTTACTCTGCCTCAGATATCATGTCTCCAGGGTATTTATAGGCTGCTCGTTGTTAGAATAGTTTATAGTCTTGACCGGTCCTTCATTTATTATCCGGTCTATAGATAGGCATGTCTCTTGTCCCTTCCTTGTTATTTTATTGTTTCATACCATTTCTTTTGCATGCTTCTTGGGATATGGTTCCGATACTTGTGTACGATGTATTCAAATTTATATTCGTTCGTAACAAGTCGTGGTGTCTGTAATGCCCATTTGGTGATGGATAATGTAGGTTTTAAGGACTAAGTGTTCGATTTGTGTTGGAACCAAAGGACATATCAGTAAGTATCAGTTCGAGCCTTTATGAGGTTTAGGTTTATGTTAGAAATTTTTTAAGGCAAGGGCGAGTTGATAGAAGTGTAGAGCATCTCGTTTCCTTCCTGTAGATATAAAGAATGACGAAATCGGACTTAGAATGAAGAAGTTATGCCTTTAGAAGATTGTTATTTCTTGACCCTATCCAAGTACGCTAGGCGTACGCTAGGAGTATGTCGGGCGTACTGGCTTGAAATACGGATCGCAGAGGCTTCAACATATGTTGGGTGTATGCATGGACTTGTTTAACTTAGGCCTCGGGCCCACCTGATTGTAGCATGTCATTTTTTGGGCTTAAGGACATGTTGGGGGTTCTTGGGCCATATTGGGCCTTAGAGGCCTTGTAGTTGGGTTTGGATGCCTTTTTGGGCTTTTTATGGAATTGGACATTAGGCAGAGGGAGGCCCATTGAGGCAGGGGTAAAGGAGCTCTTTTTACATTAAATCAAGTATTAGGGTTTTTTACTTGAGTTTGAGATCATCACTTTAGTAGAAGAAGAGTAATCATAGGAGAAGATGAAGTCATTCGTTCATTAATAAATATTACGCCATGTTATAATAGTTAAGTCAAGTTATCATTTAACCTGTAAGAGTCACTTACTGGTGTGTAATATTTGAACAAAACATATAGTTTGTTTGGTGTTTTTTGTACAAAAAGTTTACTTGGATGATGTTTTTTAAACAAACCAAACTTGGATGGTGTTTTTTGAACGGTTTTGAAACATAGTTACCCATTTGAGTCATTTCATTCTTGTTTTTTTTAATTTACTTATTTTTTACCGGTAATTGCTGGTTACACAATATCAAATTTGAACAAAAAATGTATTTCGTTGATGTTTTTTGTATAAATGCTTTACCTGAATGATGTTTTTTTTGGATACACCACACTTGAATGATATTTTTTAAACAATTTTGAAACATAATTACCCATATAAATCATTTCCCTAATTGAAGCACCAATTAAACTTCTTCCTTTTGAATCATTTTGATTTCGTCACATCATCATATTCTTTCTCTTTCCAGCTCAATTAGATTGTTCCAGCAGCCCTCCCTTTTAATTTTCTTCAAATAATATAAGAATAGTCCCTTCAATATAATCCAAGACAGTATAGCGACAGTGTGTGTATTGGCATTTCATAAACTTAGTACAACGTACGTTTGGTTTCTTGTAAGTTAAAAGACCACTGGAGCAAGAAAACAAAACCACAAAGAAATTCACTCGTAATTAAATGAATAGCATACAAAGCATCTAGTGGCCCACAAGCTCCCTTTTCTTTTAAAATAATTTAATTTGGATAATATATTGTGACGCTTTCTAATTCGAAGGTGATGTATAAGAATTATTTCGATGAAAAAAAGAAGGCATTGAAAATGACTAAACAATCTAATGAAATTTCTATGACAATTCATATAGTACGTTTTTTTTTATATATAAATCACTGCAATACATACAAAGGAGATATATATAGAGCCACTCAATTATAAAAAAATTCGATATACTTACAAACATATCGGAGGCAGGCTATTTGAGTGGGGTGTATGCACCCCCACTTAAGAGTGGGACAACTCATTTAATATTAAACAAAGCTCTAAAAATTTTATTTTTTACTATATCCACTCCTTGCATCCACTTATACAAGAAATTCCCCTTTTGATATTTTCTTTTCCTAAGAAAACCCAAAAATTACTTCAAAATTTTCAGAAATTTCTACATTTATATATGTTTATGTATAATAAACACTTGTTAGGGTTCGTTTTGGATCCGCCAGTGATTGAGGAGAGGTATATAGAGACATTCAATTATAAACAATTCTATATCGATTATACGAGTATATGACATATATCTTCACTTTTTAAGGTTTTATATCACATCTTATGTGAAAAGGTTAAATGCCACTAAATGAAAGTCGACATATATTCTCAAAAGTCATCGAAAGGAAATTGCCATGCAAATTCCTCGTATACCTAACTTCACGCAATCTGTCACTTCCGACACCTTCTGGGAAACTTCATCTACCACAATTTGCATGCCCATTGATTCCACCCATCAATCAACTGTCATCTTCTTAATCTCCCCACACTGTGTCTACTCCATCTATATATACATCCATCCATCTCCATTACATTTTCAGTCATAAAATAATACAAGAAACTTCCTTCTTTACACTCTAATGGAGTCTGCGAAAGTCCCCAAGTCATTCGGTTGTTTCTCTCAGAAGGGTTTGCTCGTAAGACTAAGTAGCTTTCGTTCGAAAAGCAACAACACTTCAAACTCCAATTCACCTACGTTAATGTCTCCTAAACCATCAAAACAAAACACCAACAACAGACAACAAGATTTCAGGTGGGTTTTCGCTCGATTTGACACTGACAACGATGGAAAGATTTCAGCTTTAGAGCTGCGATCATACTTCGGGTCAATTGGAGAATACATGTCGCACCAGGAGGCTCAGTGCGTGATTGACGATTTGGATGATGATGGTGATGGGTTTATTGATTTTGATGATTTTATGAGGCTGATGAAGATGAAAGATGAGAGAGATGATGTTAAAGCAGCGTTTGAGATGTTTGAGCATGAGAAGGGGTGTGGACAGATTAGTCCGAAGAGTTTGCAGAAGACCCTGAGTCGACTCGGGGAATCGAAAAGTTACGATGAGTGTTTGCAGATGATTAAGGTGTTTGATGTTCATGGTAAAGGAGGTGTTGATTTCAATGAGTTTCAGCAGATGATGATGACATGAATTGTAAATTTAAAAGCTCGTGTGTCAATAAGCAGACAATATAAATTTCAATCCAAGTTTAAATGCCAATTAAGTTTTAGTTTTTCTAGAACGACTAAAATACAACTTCAATTCTACTCTTAAACTACTTAAACCTCAACTATATAAGGAAGTTACTTAATTTGATTCTTGTAACTTTCATTTCATTTTGGTAGATTAGGTGCTTGAAAATAAGTTTATCGACCCTTATTTTAGGATATAACTATATTATGATCCGCATAAAACGAGAGGAAACATATAAAAAATACATATTTGATAAAATATAAAAGTATAAAAAGTTAGCACAATAATAAAAAAAATAATAGAAGTTCATAAACTGATCAAAACACTAAGTATCCACTATATTCTAGTGTGCTGCAACATAGAATAACACATCAGTTGGAACAAACACAAATATAGATCACATAACAAACACACAAAAGACACATAAAGAAAATAACAATGTACTTTGGAATATATATACCATATATAGCATTCTACTTTCATTTTTCAATATTTAACAAAATAGAAAACAAAAGTATGATGCTATATTTGACAAAAAATAAAAATACATTGTATTGGCAAAGCAGAAAATAAAAGTAGGATGATATATTTGAAAAAAAAAACAGAAGTATATTGCTATGATAGTATGAAGCATAAAAAGATACCATAATTTCACGATTCATCTTGGATTTGGATTAAACCAACCTGAAACTTCGATAAAAGACATTAGTTCTTGTTTTCCAATCTTTATGTCAAGAAATTGACCATTTGTGAAAAAAACACATAGGAAGAGTTATAGACAATACCTTCAGACAACAGTGTTATTATTGGTACTTATAGTAACATTTTTTAACATTCAGACCACCGATTTTCCCCACAACATCCTCCTTTCGTCACCTAAACAGACCCAAGATAGCAACAAAATACCAAATCATCCCAATCACCCTTTAAAAAGGTACAATGCTATATTGGATAGCTTTTATCAAAGTAGAATGCATAAAAAAAAATGAAAGGACACTGCATAAAAACAATCTACAATGTAAATCCCCTAAAATCATTTATTTATTTATTTTTATTTTTTTGTTCTTCTAAAAATTGTCTCAACTCACCCTTTCTTTTTAGGTTGAATGCTAAAAAATAGCAACATACTTTAAGCCAATTCTCATTTTAGGCAATGTACTTGTAAGCTACATAGAAAATAAAATTTTCCAATTGATTTTGCTAAAAAAAAATTACAACAACTCACCTTCAAATAGTAATACAATAAAATGATATACAAAAACATTACCAATTTAAAGTAACCACCTAGTATCAGTTAATATAACATTTCAAATTTGTTTTTCAATCAAGATCTACGTGTTCTGGATAATCATTTTTGTAGTTATAATTAAATATTTATTAATACAAATAAAATAATGAAGAACTTACCCGCCAACTCATTGGAATCGAACATTAATTCTTCTTTAGGTTGGACCGGATAATTCTACTCCAAAATCCTATTCCAATGTATGTAGTTTTTTTTTTCAAAAATAAAAATAAAAATAATGGTTACTTTATTAAAAATGTGTTGGTTAGATTACTTAATTTTGTACCTAACAGACATGGTATTTATTAATTTAATTGTAATTACTGTCATGTAAAATCTAAATGTAAAAATCGTTCAAACCAGTATGCATATCTGATTGGTTTTTTCGGTCAAGTTATTAGCTTGAGATATTTCAAAAACAAGCATATATTATCAACATTATGAAAACATTAAGAACAATAAATAGAGAAACCATAACTAACCAAGCTCAACAGATAAGCAACCAATTCAAAATTCAACCACACATAAATATTAAATAGTCAAAAGAAGCTCCTAACAAGTAACAACTCACTCAAGTCAAACAACCAAAAAAGGAGTAACAAATCCAAACATAACCACCTCTAAAGTCTTAAAACCTCGGACATCGATAATTTTAAGAAACAATGTCGTCATTCAATGACAAAGCAGCAAGCTGATCAGTAGGGCTTCCAACTCCACCCTGACCATGACCACCCACATTCCTCAACACACCCATAGCCTCAACCACCTTCGCCTCAAAGCTTTTGGAGACTCCAACAAATGAAGCACCTCTATCTGATCCATTTCTTACATAATCAATGTTACCTTAGTTGCTGAGTCACCCTCCACATCTGCACACAACCAAATAAATCATATTTACACTTTTACCCTCGATCCAAATTCAAGAAAACAACATTTAAATAAAACAAAAAAGAAAGGGCTTATAGTTCTTTGTTCTGTTGGAGAAGCATTTGCAAGACAAGAAGCCAAAGCTCCGATCGGAATTAGTTATGCCATTCCAGGCTCACAAAGTTGCATGCCATCTCCGATGTCGTAAAAAATGGAACCCATTGGGACTTCACCAACGTTGCGTCCAGGTGGGTAACGGTACATCCACCCACATGGTACCATCTGTTGTTGCATGAGGGGAATAGGTTGTTGCTGATTCTGTTGAACGGGTATGCCACCTCGATGTTGTCCTTGCTGACCTGGCGGAACCATTGGCATGAAGAAGTTGGGCATTGGACCCCCCTCTTGGCCTCATCCCTGGCACAAGTTGTTCTTGGTTAGTTGGTACCCAAATCCAGGTTTCATCCACACACAATAAAAAAATCATAATTAAAAATTATTTTCGCAAAAATATGGAATTGAAATTGGAATTACTTAGGCTTGGCGAGAATGAAGGTAGGCTGAGCTTGACCATAAAACATTTGTTGAGCAAGACCGGGACCACTAGGGGGTACATTGGCATGCGAGGACCACCAGGAGCTAGTCCTATTGCAATAGGCCTCATCTATGAAAATTGTGCCTGCTTTCATACAATTTAAACCATCACCAATTTTTATTTAAAAAACTGGAAACAAATTCAATTTGTAACACCGTAAATTTCAAAAAAAAAATTCAAATTTTATAAAAACATAATTCACTTAATATTCATAAAACACCCATGTTTGAAATTTAATCCAGGTCATACAAAAATCTCAAGATCTCATAATCATAAAATCTCATGCGTGTGTACTGATCAAGCCGATGTATTCCCACGGTCGTCACTAGTACCTGAAACAAATAACACCAAACACGGTAAGCACAAAGCTTAGTGAGTTCCCCAAAATACCACATATAACACATATTGGCCACTCGAGGCTATAACTCTATGGGTCCGTACACCCAAACTCTGTGAACCCTCAGGTTCTAACTCTGTAGACATGCACATCATAAATCACATAGAAATAATGCAGTACAACACATAACATACATAGCATACAAATACTCTTTCATATAACTCTGGTTACCTACTCAAGGTAAGATATAGTGAGAAGACTCACCTCGTGTATCTCGATAATCGCAAATCCCTGAATCACTCGTGCTCGATCCCTAGAGCTATAATCCTCCTATATATAATACATATCTCTAATTAACACTTCCAAGACTAAGGTTGACTAACCCCACTAAGTCAACACTGGTCCACTCTGGTCAACGGTCAACTTTGACCGGACTCGGCGAGTCTATACGTGCTCACTAACTCCCTAGGATCCTTTCGTGACGCGTCGAGTACTTCCCTGACTCGACGAGTTCCACCTGGCATGAATCGTAGGGCCACCACGACTAAACTCGCCGAGTCTCAAGAACAACTTAGCGAGTTCCAGCTTGACTCAGTCCACCCTTCAACCATCTCTAACTCTCCCTGACTCACTGAGTTAGCCCCTTAACTCGGCAACACCACTCGCTGAGTGGTTATGGACAATCTTCATGCTACTCGCTGAGTCTGTTCTTCGGACTCGGCGAGTCTATGCCATGCATGAACTCAAACTCACTCCTGAGGTCAGATCCGTTCCAATAACTCCTAGATCCAGTCCTTCCAAGCACATACATCACGTAAAGTTACAATCTTGGTGCTCATGCAAAGGTCCAAAGGCCTTATTTGATGATATGGTCTCTAGAATGCTATTCTAAGCTCATGGCCTCCATTAACACTCATAAAGCTTGAGGGAAAAGGGTCTCTGGACCTCTTTGGGTCCAGATCTAAAGCACCAACACAAGAAGAGGCCAATTACTCCATGGATCATTCCACAAAGAAAACCTAACTCTAAGTTTCACATCAAGGACTGAGAAAGGAACGAATGGTTACCTCAAATGAAGTCTTCTGAGCTCAGAAATCACTGGATTAGAACCTTCTTTGGTATCCTCTTGCCTTGATCCTCTTATATGTGCACAAACACCCACAAATAGTCAAGGATCTTCCTCTTCTCTCTCACAAAGCGCTCACAGACTCTTTAGGGTTCTCTCTGGGGTTGGTGGCCGCAAATGACGGCCATAAGCCCCCTTAAATAGGTCTCATACCCAGGAAATTAGGGTTTCATTAAACAGTGTGGACTCCCCGAGTCCACTCCTTGGACTCGCCGAGTCCAGACGCGAACCCGCGTCCAAATCGCAATCCTACTCGACGAGTATGAGCTCCAACTCGCCGAGTCCCCTCACAATTCACCAAAAATACAATAATAATAAATACCTGGGAATCCGGGTTGTTACAATTCTCCCCCACTAGAACTAGACTTCGCCCTCGAAGTCTCGCTCTGCAAATAACTTTGGATGCTGCTCGTGCATCTCCCGCTCCGGCTCCCAAGTCATCTCGGACCCCTTCCGATGCTGCCACTGAACCAAAACCAAGGGTACCTCCTTGTTCCTCAGAACCTTGATTTTCCGATCTATGATTGCCATTGGTCTCTCAGCATAATTCAGGCTCGCATCCACCTGAATATCCTCTAATGGAACCACTGCCGACTCATCGGCTATACACTTCCGCAATTGCGACACATGGAAAGTGTCGTGAATCTGCCCCAACTCTGCTGACAAATCCAAACGATAGGCTACCCTGCCTACCCTCACGACCACCCGAAATGGACCAATATATTGGGGCCCCAACTTGCCCCTCTTCCTGAATCGAATCACTCCTTTCCAAGGAGAGACCTTCAGGAGCACAAAGTCGCCGACTTGAAACTCAAGCTCGGACCGGCGTCTGTCCGCATAACTCTTCTGCCGACTCATGCAAAAGTCCAAACGATAGGCTACCCTGCCTACCCTCGGGGCCCCATGAAAAAGCGACACCCTTCCGGGTCAACCTAGTGAGTGGCACTGCGATCTTAGAGAAATCCTTGATAAATCTCCGATAATAACCGGCCAACCCTAGAAAACTCCTGATCTCAGAGGGTGACCTCAACACCTCCCAACTCATCACCGCCTCAACATTCGCCTAGTCGACCAATATCCCTTCCTGGTTAACGAGATGTCCCAGGAACTGGACCTCTCGCAACCAGAAATTACACTTGGAGAATTTGGCGTAAAGCCTCTCCGATCTCAAAACTCCGAGGATCTCCCTCAAATGCTCCTCGTGCTGCTCTCTAGATCTCGAATATACCAAGATGTCGTCGATGAATACAATCACTGACCGATCCAACATCGGTCTGCACACCCGGTTCATGAGATCCATGAACACTGCCGGGGCATTGGTGAGCCCGAAGGGCATCACCACAAACTCGTAATGCCCATAACGCATCCTGAACGTTGTCTTCTGGATGTCCTCATCTCGCACCCTCACCTGATGATATCCAGACCTCAAATCGCTCTTGGAGAACCAAGATGCTCCCTGCAACTGATCGAACAAATCATCGATCCTCGACAACGGGTAACGGTTCTTGACCGTCAGCTTGTTCAACTCCTGGTAATCAATGCACATCCGGTGTGAACCATCCTTCTTCTTGACAATAAGGATAGGCGCTCCGCACAGCGAGCTGCTCGGTCGAATAAACCCCTTCCCCAGAAGTTCCTGAAGCTGCGAGGATAACTCTTGCATCTCAGGAGGTGCAAGATGATAAGGCACCTTGGCGATAAGCGCGGCCCTCGGAACCAAATCAATACTGAACTCTACTTGCCTCACGGGAGGCACACCTGGCAACTCCCCTGGAAAGACATCCGGGAACTCACGCACTATCGAAACCTCCTCCACTGACCTCGGCCTCTCGGAATCAACCCGCGTATCCGACACGTACGCCACAAAACCCTTACAACCCTGCTGTAGACACTGCCTCACCCTAGCGGCCGAACAAAATGCTGATCCAGAATGTGTAACCTCGCCGTACACCATAAGAACTCCCCCACTAGGGTCTCGTATGGTCACCAGTTATCGCTCGCAGTCGATAACCACACAGAACCTGCTCAACCAGTCCATGCCCACAATGACACAGACATCACCCATCGCAATAGGAACCAAGTCAATCGGGACCTCAACACCGAAAATCTCTAATACGCATTCGCGGATCACTTCCGTGGCATATATCACCCTTTCGTTAGCTATGGAAACTCTCAGAGGCCGACTCAGCACCTCGTGACTAACACTGATATGCTGACTAAAAGCCAAAGATACAAAAGACCGACTCGCACCCGAGTCAAATAACACCAAGGCAGGTACATAATTCACAAGAAAAGTACCTATGCATAACATAATATAAGCATAATATCTCAACATCAAAATAAATACATGAAAGAATACATACCAGCCACGACATCGGGTGCTGCGTGGACCTCCTCCGCGGTCAATTGAATGGCTCTCCCTCGTGCCCTCGGCGCCTCATCCTTCACTGGCCGACTCTCGGTAGCTCTGATGGCGGCAGGGGCAGATCCCTGAGGTGCTCCCTGAGCTGATCCTCGTAACTGCGGACACTCCGCCTTCCGGTATCCAGTCTGGTTGCAGTGAAAACACACTGCAAATCCATTGGGGCAGTCCTTGGCCATATGCCCCTCCTTGCCATATTTGTAGCAAGAACCAGCTCTGTATACTCCATCATGACCCTTTCCGCACTTTCCACAAGTGCATCCCCTCTGGCTCCCAGATTTGAGATCAGCGGGCTTAACCCGCTTGGCTGCCGGCTGGGACTGTGCCGATCGTCGATCCCTCCCCTGAGACTCCGCCTCCTCCCTGGCCTGAGTCTCTAGCTCAATCTCCCTCTTCCGGGCATTTTCCTGGAGCTCGGAAAATGTCCGGTACGAGGAGTTCACCACGAACTCCCGAATGTCTCGCCTCAAGATACTCAAATATCGGCTCATGCGTGCCTGCTCAGTGGACACGTGCTCAGGGTAGAACATCGCCCTCTCGTGGAACATCCTGGTAATCACCGTAACAGACTCAATACCCTGCTTGAGGGTCAGAAACTCCTGGGCCAAACGCTCCCTCTCCACCTGGGGAACGTACTCATCTCGGAACATGGCAAGGAACCTTTCCCAGGTCACTGCCGCAAGCTCAGCAGGCGAAAAGTGCGCTGTCACAAACTTCCACCAGCCTTCGTTCCCAAGCGAAGCTGGTTCAGCGCGAACCGAACTCTCAAATGCTCAGGAGATGAGCAAGTGAAGAAACACCCCTCTATGTCTGAAATCCATCTCATAGCCGCCACCGGGTCCTGGGTCCCATCAAACTCTGGTGGTTTTGTGTTGCTGAACTCCCAGAACAGCAACGCATCACCACCCTGCGGCCTCGCAGCAGCAACAGCCGCGGTGGCCGCCGCAACAGCAGCCTCAGAAAGAGCAGCATAACGCTCGTCAAAAGTCTCAATCAGCGTGGTCTTAATAGACCCGAACATCTCTGGTATCTCTGCCCTGATGGCCGCAGCCACCTCCTCGTGGATGATCTGATGGATCTCCTCATCACTAGCCCCACTGCCCTCTGGCATATGACGTGTCCTCACCGTGATCGACCTCTGAAATACAACATACTATAAATTCGAATCCATTCGAGCATACTCACACTCGACAACTCTTTCCTCCTTGATCCTTGGCATTCCAAAGGTTCTTATTTGAGTTGTACACCGCTCCGGTGCCTTCAGTAGTACGGGCCCAATACTACTGTCCACACCGTTTCAGTATACATCCCAAAGCCTCCTCTTCGGATTCCAAGTTCCAAGTACTCTATCACTCTCTAATAAATCTATCATAAGCTCCTCGCTGCTACCTATTCACTCTCAAGCATCTCATAGCAACTCATTTTCCCTTAGGGTAAGGCATCACAAATAAGGGCACTCTAGTCCTAATAGGAATACCTAGCCTACTCTAGCAAGAGAATACATCATATCAATCTCATAAACATATAATCATAAGGGTATTTTGGGAAATCAACATTCGGGCACTGAATGATCGTACACACGTTTCTGCTCTAAGTTTCTCTAAAAAAACTTTTACTTCTTTTATAAAATTTGGTTCTCTTTTGAAAATATTTTCCAAATCCTCAGTTTGAGTTCAAATACCCTCGAAGGTGTACCCGAATCCCTCAAACCAAGGCTCTGATACCAACTTGTAACACCGTAAATTTCAAAACAAATTTTTCAAATTTTGTAAAAACATAATTCACTTAATATTCATAAAACACCCATGTTTGAAATTTAATCCAAGTCATACAAAAATCCCAAGATCTCATAATCATAAAATCCCATGCGTGTGTACAGATCAAGCCGACGCCTTCCCACGATCGTCACTAGTACCTGAAACAAATAACACCAAACACTGTAAGCACAAACCTTAGTGAGTTCCCCAAATACCACATATAAAACATATTGGCCACTCGAGGCTATAACTCTATGGGTCCATACACCCAAACTCTGTGAACCCTCAGGTTCTAACTCTGTAGACATGCACAGCATAAATCACATAGAAATAATGCAGTACAACACATAACATAAATAGCATACAAATACTTTGTCATATAACTCTAGTTACCTACTCAAGGTAAGATATAGTGAGAAGACTCACCTCGTGTATCTTGATAATCGCAAATCCATGAATCACTCGTGATCGATCCCTCAAGCTATAATCCTCCGATATACAACACATATCTCTAATTAACACTTCCAAGACTAAGGTTGACTAACCCTACTAAGTCAACACTGGTCCACTCTGGTCAACGGTCAACGGTCAACTTTGACCGGACTCGGCAAGTGCAATAGAGCGACTCAGCGAGTCTATACGTGCTCACTAACTCCCTAGGATCCTTTCGTGATGCGTCGAGTACTTCCCTGACTCGACGAGTTCCACCTGGCATGAATCGTGGGGCCACCACGACTCAACTCGTCGAGTCTCAAGAACAACTTGGCGAGTTCCAGCTTGACTCAATCCACCCTTCAACCCTCTCTGACTCTCCCTGACTCACTGAGTTATCCCCTTAACTCGGAAAGACCACTCGCTGAGTGGTTATGGACAATCTTCATGCTACTCGTCGAGTCTGTTCTTCGGACTCGGTGAGTCTATGCCATGCATGAACTCAAACTCACTCCTGAGGTTAGATCCGTTCCAATAACTCCTAGATCCAGTCCTTCCAAGCATATACATCACGTAAAGTTACAATCTTGGTGCTCATGCAAAGGTCCAAAGGCCTTATTTGATGATATGGTCTCTAGAATGATATTCTAAGCTCATGGCCTCCATTAACACCCATAAAGCTTGAGGGAAAACGGTGTATGGACCTCTTTGGGTCCAGATCTAAAGCACCAACACAAGAAGAGGCCAATTACTCCATGGATCATTCCACAAAGAAACCCTAACTCTAAGATTCACATCAAGGACTGAGAAAGGAACAAATGGTTACCTCAAATGAAGTCTTCTAAGCTCAGAAATCACTGGATTAGCACCTTCTTTGGTCTCCTCTTTCCTTAATCCTCTTCTATGTGCACAAACACCCACAAATAGTCAAGGATCTTCCTCTTCTCTCTCACAAAGCGCTCACAGACTCTTTAGGGTTCTCTCTGGGGTTGGTGGCCGCAAATGACGGCCATAAGCCCCCTTAAATAAGTCTCATACCCCGGAAATTAGGGTTTCATTAAATAGCGTGGACTCGCCAAGTCCACTCCTTGGACTCGCCGACTCCAGACGCGAACCCGCGTCCAAACCGCGATCCTACTCGGCGAGTCTGAGCTCCTACTCACCGAGTCCCCTCACAATTCACCAAAAATACAATAATAATAAATACCTCGGAATCCGGGCTGTTACACAATTTACGAAAAAAAAATTGTAAACAGACATGCAATCTTTCCCTTCCGTCTTCTTTGTGTTGAGCAAGTGCAACATAAGGAGGCTTGCTAGCAATCATCTTCCCATTCATGTCAGCCAACTATAAAATTAGATACAAAATTTTTAACATCTAATATAAAATATCCAAACATAATAAATAATAATAACTGCTTACAGCTCTAGAAGCTTCCACGGAAGTGAAAAATGCAAAAAAGACTAATCCTTTGCTAGTTCATGTTCTGTTTCTATCTTTTTCTGGGCTTTTCCAAGATACCACTCTTTATCATCAAACTTCTGTCCAGTAAGACCATCTACTGCTTTAGCAGCATCTCCAGCATTCTTAAAATTAACAAAACCAAAGCACTTGGAGTTACCTTCTGTATCTCTCATCAATACAGCACTTGTGACTGTTCCGTATTCACCGAATGTCTTGTTTAAGTCATCATCTGTTGTTGATTCAGACTACGGCGTTGACAATTTTCTGATCTTGTGGACTCAAATTACCAGGCACTTCTTGTTACCTTCAACTTAATTATAGGTTCATTATGAAAATATTAAAATTGCAAAAGATTAAATTTATAAAAATCAATAAAAAATCACCTGCCTATCTGCAATAAATAACAGTTGATATTGGCCCCTGCTATGTTCAACAATAGTCATAGCATGTTCAATGATAGGAATGATGTTGGTCCTGTAAAAACACGAAATACAAACATAGAGGTTTAAATGGAAAAATGGTAAATTTTATGTAGTACTCAAGAACATATTATAGATATAAGATCTCAAACCTACAAGCTTTAAATGAGGGACAATTTCCTTATATCTACTCAAGACTTCCTAAAATCCATTACAACCCCATAAAATCAACAAATAATAACCGAATATCATACACATTTTCCTAATCTAATTTATAGCCTAACCTTTATACAAAAAAATTCAGTCAAAAAATAATAGTTTGATCTCCAAAACAATCCACTAAGGTCTCTCATTTTTGAAATATACATATTTGAAAATCTGGTATGATATGCTCCAAAAATGAGTATAGGACTGGAAAACAATGTCCTAACATGTGCAATTATTGATTGCCATATACTTACATAGAATGTTGTGATTGGGTAACTTTTGCAAAGGTTATCCAAGGCCTCTTGATCAGCTACAAACGTTATCCATCAAATTCAATTGCTGTCAAAATCAATGATTATGGCATGTAGTTTACACAAAGTTAATTATATGTGGAAATGGATGAAAAGTTGAAGATAGCTTCAACCAAGTGGCCATACTCAGGAACCATCTAAAAATGAATGCATATTCTTTGATATCATATCACATCGACAACACTGTAATGGAAAAAAAATCATGAAGAATCAATATTTCCTTTGATATCATTTGGGAAAGCTGGTGAGTACATAGGGTTTTCAACAGAACTTACATTCATTTACACTAGTGATCTATATTTCCTTAATCTCTCAGTGTAATGTCACTTCATATCGACACCTGTGATATAAATAAACTGAGTGGGTCATGTTGGGAAAGTTGATGACTACATAGGGTTTTCAACCCACAATAATATAATTATTATGTTTAGTCGTCAAACAGTTAACCCAATTACCCATCCCCATTATATTCTTTACTCTTAAGGGTATACCCTATGAATAAGCTACTCCTCGTTAATTTAATCCTAAGGATCATCCTAAGGGATCGACACGAAATCCATCGTTTCCAGGGTTTACTCAACAGGCACTAAATCCATAGATGCCAGGGCTATTTTGTTTATCGAAAATATCCATTCGCAATAAATGTCAATGGGTTTTTTTGGAGTACACCGGTGAACACATCATTCACAACACCTACAGGTTGCGAGCCTGCTAGTGTTCCATTGGACTGTCTAGAATAGTCTGTGGTTATCATCCATACTCTGCTGAATCACGGAGCCATCATTTGGGAAAAAGGCTTCTCACATCGTCCACCTCTCACCCTCACTTCACGATCTATTTCACCACTCAAATCATACTCCATCTATTACATCTACCCATGTTTTACCCCAATATTATCGTAGATATAAAATACATATACAGTTTAAATCATTTAAAACATGTATAAAATCGTTCATCCAGCATAGATAGCAATTATACATATATTATTCACACATAGCATGTAGTTTATATAAAATACTTCATATCTATGTGTAAGATGAAAGTAACCATGCACTCACTTAATAAGGTGATGACTTGGTACTCGAACAACACTTTGTTACTGTTAAAACAATTTCCCTCGGACAAAACCTAGTATCATTACCACTAGAGTTTAGTTTAACGTTAACCGCGACTAATTAATAGTCTAGATATTATTACTATTATATAAGCATTAAGAAACACTCTTATATAACTCATAATAATAGCCTAAATACTCATTATAAGTTCCTAATAACGTTACTATATTAAAACATAAGCTATACTAAAGATAGGGTAGGCATAGCTCACTTACAGCGGGTTTTTTCGCAAAACTGTGCTTCGCTGGAGCAGTATTTCCGAGCTGAAAGACCCTTTTTCTTGAGACTCCGGGAGCCTCGTGGCTTCCTTCGGGTGCTAGGGAGGTTCCTTAGGCTTTTTGTGGGGTTTGGGGGTTTAGAGAGAGAGAGAGAGTTTAGAGAGAGAAACTGAAGTTGGGAAGGTGTGAAGAATGAGGGAGCCCGACAGCTCTATTTATAAACTGGAAAACAGATCTACTCGTCGAGTAGGTCCTCCTACTCGTCGAGTCCATGCTAGGTGTCACCCTCTGGTGGCTTGCCTTGGGGAGAAAGCCTTGACCCTTATTCATCTACATCACCCCTTTTGCAGCAGCACCTTGCAGACTTCTAAACCCCTTAACTTTCGCATACGAGCTTTGTTTTCGACGTTCTTTTTTCCATGCTTAGTTAAAAATAAGATCTACAACTTTCATTTAGACTCCATTGGCTAATTCTCGACCGATATTAAATTTAACAGTAAGAGGAGATTAGATTGTTAAATGACCACGAAGAATTCATAACTCCTTCATACGGACTCCGTTTTCGTCTGTATTTTTATGGTTTAGATCCTATTAATGAGATCTTCAAATCTCATTAAGGTTGCGTAAGCCAAAAACTGCTCGAACTAAAATTCAAGTTTCGGGTCGTACACTGCTAAGCCGAATCTTAGAAAAATCATAACTTCCTCATACGAAGTCAGATTTGGGCGTTCTTTTTATGGATGTTCTTGGTTTAACATATACTACAACCTTGGTTTATATCACTAAGGATAAAAAGTATTATATCGTAAATTCACTTTTTACGTCTCCCGGTGCCATGTCGGTTTTGTCGTAAAACTTCGACGAACCATAACTTCTTCGTTATAACTCGGATTTCGGCGTTCTTTATATGTACCGAACCCTTGAGACATATTCTAGAACTTGTTTAAATCTATTTATTCTAAATAATTTTTTTTTGAAAAGTTGTTTTCGACCCCTATTATCTCTAAATTGACTAGCCCGGATCTACGGGCGTTACAGAGCGAGTAATTGGAGTTAATTCTGGGTGTAAATAGTTTTGTAAAGTTCTTGAATATTGAAATTTTAGCCCTATTTCTCATGTCTGATGGTGAACGGTCAAGGGATAATGGAGCCTTTTCAATCTTTAATGTTTTGTTTTTAAATTTGAAAATTAATTTAGGAAGGAGGCTTTTGTTGGATTTACCTATAGATGATGAAGGACTTGATGATTCATTGAATTTGGTTTAAACATAAGTAGTGATAGGCATTTGAGAAAATTTTACCCTTAGTGTTTTTCACATAGCCTGTTGAATGCTAATATATTGAATCATGAAACTAAATTGAAAGTCTGAAACAACTCCTTTAATGGATGAATCATCTCTGAGAAACAAAAGAAAGTTAGAGGTAATATCATTGATAGGTAATACAAAAACTAAACAACCTAACACATAATTGATATATGAGTACATATAAAAAAGAAACCGCACAATAGAATTTGAGAACGTTAGACTTATGAGAATATTAGACCCATGAGATGTTTCAACAATTACTTCTAAAATTACGTTTACAAAATTCTTAAGTTAGGAGCTTGTCAGGCTATTCTAGACTAATTGAAGTATACATGAAACAATACCCAAAAAAGGAACCGGCTATCAAACTTTTGAAAAGGATCCATTTGTGAGAGCCAAAAAAAAAAAATTATGAACAAACAACTGAAAACAGAGAGAGGGGTTACCTTGACAGTGAGTGAAAAAGAGGATGATTCGTTGTCGGATCTTCCGTCTGAGTGAGCCTTGCCAAAATCCATTCATGATTTTAGACAAAATAACAACTGAAAACAAACTCAAACCCAAATCTTACATTGTTGTC